CCCCAAAACCCCAAAACCCCAAAACCCCAAAACCCCGCCTTTGTCTTATTGCATGATTAAGTTATAAATGACTGATAGAAAGTAAATCAATAATTAAATTAAAATCTGTTCAGATAAAAAGATACCAATATCAAGATGGAAAAACTTAGCAAAGATAAATAAGTGGCACAGTCTGGCAATAACTCAAAAAGCAAGGATACTTAGGTGGCAGTTAACTCAAAAAAGAGGGGAAGGAGCGAACTTGGTGATAATAATGAAGAGTTAAAGCAATAAAGTACAAAGAAGGTATTAGATAATATACAGAGCCATGAAAAAGGTAATTTCCAAACGAATCAAGTTTTTTGTATAGATACACTTCTAGTTGTTGAATTTGGAGGATTTGCAGTAAAAGATAAGGTAGCAAGCTTCGACTTGGTAAATTATCTCCTATCTAACATCTAATTAGGATCATACAATCATCAAACCTAAATCAAATGCTAAATTTGGATAATCGCCCACAGATTGGGTTTTCCTTTACGATGGATCAGTAATCTAAAAGAGGTTGCTAGAGCTTTCTAATGATGGCTATAGTATCGTTATTGTTACAAATCAAGGAGGTGTTGAAGCTGGACATACTAGCATTAATGATCTGAAAAAGAAGTTCACTCTAATTCAGAAAGAATTGAATCTCCCAATGCTCTTTTTGGCTGCCACTTATTCTGATCAGTATAGAAAGCCAGCAACAGCCACATGGGAGTACTTTTTAAAGAAATACACTAAAGATGGTAAGATAGACATGAAGAAAAGCTTTTACTGTGGTGATGCTGCTGGAAGACCCAAAGAAGGAGATAGAAAGAAAGACTTTTCAGATACTGACAGGAAATTCGCTGTCAATCTAGGTATCCCATTTTAAGTACCAGAGTAAACTTTCTTGGGTGAATAGGTTAAACTACCTTAAATAAAGAGAGCAGTTAAAGAAGAGAAAAAGGGATCAGCAAATGCTGAAGACGGTCCAGCTGAATAAGTAGATTATAAAGGCAAAGGACAAGAGATAATTTTATTCTTTGGATCACCAGGCTCTGGAAAATCTACATTCTGGAAGAATCATTTATCTGATTACGTTAGAGTAAATAATGACACTCTAAAGACACCATAAAAATGTATGGCAGTCTGTGAAGAAGGTCTCAAGGCTGGCAAGAGTGTAGTAATAGATAATACAAATGCAACTCTAGAATAAAGGACAAGATATCTCACATTAGCCAAGAAATATAATGTTTCTATCAGATGCTTCATGTTTGATGTTACTAAAGAGGTTTGCATGCACAACAATACTCAAAGAAAAGTAAATAGCCATAGATAGCATCTAAGTGGTAAGATCCCGAACATTCCTATACATAGCTTCTTTAAGAATAGTGAAAAGCCACAAGAAAAAGAGGGATATGCTGAAATTAAAAAGATACAGTTTAAAGCAGGGCCATTCGAAAATGAAGAAGACAAAAAATGCTACTACTCCTTAACATGAATTAATTTATTTGTTATTAATACATATATTTATTCTCAATATTAAGCAATGGGGTTTTGGGGTTTTGGGGTTTTGGGGTTTTGGGG